GAAAAATCGGTTTTATGGAAATTTTATCAAATAATAATTCGAATAAATGAAAATTCTGTTTGAATTTTTGGTTATATAAAAATTCGCTGCAATGTAGAAAATCGTTTTAATGAAAATTTTGCAAAATACTAATTTGAAGAAATAAAAATTCGGCTCAAAAATAATTATGACAAATGAAAAAGCAAAAAGTGAGTCAATATAATTAAAATTGAAATTTTTTACTAAAATTCAGATTTAGAAAATAGACCTCAATATATCTATATATATTGAATTTCTTTTTTTTTATGGAAAAAATAAATTTAACAAATTTTTTTATTTTTCTTTAGAGAAAAAAATATTTTAAAAAAATATATATTCTTACTCTACGGCACAAACATTTTTCGATCGATTTATGATATTTTTGTTATCCTAACATTATCCCAACATATCCTATATATATGTATAAAATGCAAATGAATAGCAATAAGGCCTGCCATTTCAATTCGCGATTTAATCTTGAATGGCTTAGCAAATCTGGGCTTAAAAATCTCTTCTCAAGCCTACGCTCGTACAGTACAATATGCAAAAAAAAAAAAAAAAAAAAAAAATTGTTATTACAGAATCACGAAAAATTGATAAGAGAGGACAACTTTTTTTTCCTTTGATGAAATATTTGGTTTTAGTAATTTTTTTTATCATTTATTTATCTCGCGGTTTGATTTTTTTTTGTTCAATACTTTTAATTATTTTTGACATGCATATTTTTTTTAGTCTTTATTTTTATTTAAACATTTAGAAAATAATATATAATAATAATAATTATTATTATTATTATAATTATTATTATTATTATTATTATTATTATTATTATTTTTATTATTATTTTTATTATTATTTTTATTATTATTTTTATTTATATGTAATAGATTTTTATATATCGTAAATCTATTTTTGTAAATTGAATTTCCGGTATGAAACGCCTACATCTATATATAAATTCCATGGAGTTTAAAAAAAAAAAAAAAAAAAAAAAAAAATTAAAAAAAAATTCTATAACCGATGATTCCATCGAATTTTTTTTTTTTTTTTATATATTCCATATGAGAGTGAGGCAATGAGTCACAATGTGTGTTTGTATGTATGTGAGCACATGTGATACTTGAAAACCTAATTTACTCAAGACTCTAAATGCCAGTCACACACAACCAGTGATAATGATTTTAATGCCTTGACTCATTCTTTATTTTAAAAAAAAAATCTCTTTTGTAATTTTAATATTTTCTGCACGAACAAAAATAATTTTGCACATATACTCTTTTTCTCTCTCTCTCTCTCTTTATAAATATATATATTTTTTTCTACCTATATGGTAAAAATATATGAACTTCGAATTTTGTTTAGTCTATTTTTTATATAGTTTTTCCAAAAATTATAAACATAACCTAAAATTTTTTTTACATAAGGTCCCTTCTCTCGTGGAGGGCAAAATATTAACATTTTTGTGTATTATTATTATTATTATTATTATTATTATTATTATTATTATTTATAATAATTTTTTATTTTTAGTAATAATTATTAAAAATCAAAAAATTAATATTGAGTGGAATTCGAAATTTTTTTAATCACTCGGTATAAAAAAAAATATAATATATATTCAGCGCGATGATAAGACTTTATATATATATGATAAATAATAATCTTTGAAATTTAAAGATCAACGAACTACCGTTGTTGTTGCTAGCTGCTACCTCGACTATAACCAGTGATTATGAGGTGAAAATAATTGTCGACAATAATACAAGTTTTATAGTAAATGTTCTTGATCACCCACGCGTGACACTATATAGAGTTATACATCTTAAAATTACTGATTTAATTTATAATAATTAATTTTATCAAATACATAAGCACGCATTATAAAGCAACAAGAAAAAATAAATTATCTTTCAACATTATATTTTATATAAAATTAATTTTAAAGTAATAAATAAAAAAATTTTTTGATATAAATATTCTATAATGATATATTATAAAATTATATAGTGTCGAAAAATTATTATAATAAATAATTTTAATATCTAATAATAAAAATAATAATAATAAAATAATAATAATAATAATAATAATAATAGTAATAATAATGGTCAACTACCACACCCTGCACTAGTAAAAATTTAGTGACTTTATTTTTTAAATTAAAAGTTACTATAAAGTCACTAAATTTTTACTAGAGCAGGGTGCGGTAGTTGATCGAGAATTACGACGAATTATGAAAAACTGGTGAAAATTTAGTTACTTTCTAGTAAATTCCTAGTTTCTAGAAACTTACTAGTTATGAGAAAGTTTCTAGTTACAAGAAAGTTTCTAGTGAGTTTCTAAAACATTACAGAAAGTAACTAAAATTTCACCATATTTTATTGAAACTTTGAACGAAGCCGATTTAATGTATATATATATATACATGCTTCAAAAGTAAACATAACCTTACTTTCGAATATTTTTTCTAAATTTATTTTTGAAATTTTTATTAACTTACTAGTTAACTAGTATTACTTCATATAGTTAAAATTTAGTTACTTTCTAGTAATTTTCTAGTTTCTACTCTCTAAATCTGAATTAGTAAAAATGTTTACTAATTTGAATTAGTGATTCACTGTTTGCTTCTGAATTAGGAAAATTTTTACTAATTGTCAGTAAAAGTTAATAATAATTAGTAAAATTTTACTAATTCAGAAGCAAAAAGTGAGTCACTAATTTAAATTAGTAAATATTTTTACTAATTCAGATTTAGAGAGTAGAAACTTAGTTATTAGACGGTTTTTAGTTACTAGATATTGTTTCTAGTTTCTAGAAAGTTACTATATAGTTATTAGAAAGTTTCTAGTTAGGAAAAAAAAACTAACTACAAATTCACTAGTTAGTAGAAAGTTTCTACTTTCTAAAAAGTTACTAGTTAGAAATTTTCTAGTTTCTAGAAATTTACTAAATTAAGAATTAAAATAAAATTAATTATTTATATAATAATATAATAATAAAATTCCAAAAAAAAAGTGGATTTGTTTTTTATTTTAACAAAAATATTTTACAGATTTTTAAATAAAATTTTTTTTTTTAATAATAATTCTTTTCGAAGGGTTAAAGTTGAAATTTTTAGAAATTATTAAATTTCAGAAGATATTGTTAATTTTCAAACAATTATTAAATTTTACAGAACTAAAAATAATTTATCAAACAATTTTTGGAAAACATTTTTTAAATTTAATTGAATTTTCAAAGATTTAAAATTGAGATTTTTGAAATTAATTGAAACTTTAAGTGTTTTGTAATTAAAATTTTAGATGATTTCACTAAAAATTTATTAGAAAATGCGGACAAAATACAATAATTTGAAAATCATTTTTAATTGAAAAATGGTTTCAGATAGTTGAATTTTCAAAGAATATTATTAAAATAGTTAAAAATAATTGAATTTCCTTAGAGTTATAATTGAAATTATTAAATTTCAAAAAAAAAAAATTTTCGATGGAAAATTTTAGAAATAATTAAATTTTAGATGCTTTTAAATTCAAATTATTGAAAATTCAATTAATTTTGAATTCCAATTTTTGAGAATAATGAAATTTTATTTGATTTTAAAAATTGGAAAATAATTGAATTTCAGTTCATTTTGAATTGAAAATTTTTGGGAAATAATTGAATTTTAATTGAAATTTTGGATAATAATTTAATTTAAGTTCATTTTTCATTGAAAATTTGGATAATTAATTTTGAATAGAAATTTTAGAAAATAATTGAATTTTATTTCATTTTAAATTGAAAAGTTGGTAAATAATTAAATTTTAAATTGAAAATTTTGGATAATTATTGGATTTTTAATTGATTTTGAATTAAAATTTCGGGAAATAATTGAATTTTAGTTTGTTTTTAATTGAAATTTTTCGAAAAATAATTCAATTTTATTGTGTTTTTTTTTTAAATTATAAACTTAAAAAAAAATTTTCGATGGAAAATTTTAGAAATAATTAAATTTTAGATGCTTTTAAATTCAAATTATTGAAAATTCAATTAATTTTGAATTTCAAATTTTTGAGAATAATGAAATTTTATTTTGATTTTAAATTTGGAAAATAATTGAATTTCAGTTCATTTTGAATTGAAAATTTTTGTTGGAAATAATTGAATTTCAATTAAAATTTATCAAAATAATTGAATTTTAATTGATTTTGAATTGAAATTTTGGAAAATAATTGAATTTCACTTAATATTAAATTGAAACTTTGGAAAATAATTGAATTTTACTTGATTTCGGATTGAAAATTTTGAAAATAATTGAATTTTAGTTGATATTAAATTGCAAATTTTGGAAAATAATTGAATTTCAATTCAAATTTTTGAAAAATAATTGAATTTTAGTTGATTTTCAATTGAAATTTTGGAAAATAATTGAATTTTAGTTAATTTTGAATTGAAATTTTTCGAAAAATAATTCAATTTTATTGTGTTTTTTTTTAAATTATAAACAATTGTTAAATTTCATAAAAATTTTAATTGAAAAATAATTTTGATATAATTGAATTTGTGATGTATTTAATTAAAATTATTAAAAATAATTAATTTAGTGAAGAATCATTTTAGTTGAAAATTTGTTAAATAATTGAATTGAAGAAGATCTGAAGAAGATCTATAAATTTTATACTAAAAAAATGTATTTTATTTACATTTTTTTTCAAATGTAAAAAAAAATGTCGCATTTTATTAAAATAAGTCAATAAAAGTCGTATTTTTGAAAAAAGTCGGAAAAAGTCGTATAAACCAAGGCCTGTAAACATATAATTTTCATTATTATCATTTAATATGTAATAATATTCTAATAAATTAAATTATTATTGATAATATTAATTTCTTTATAACAAACAATGAAATACTCAATTTGGCTCAATTTTGCTAGTTAAGAATTAAAATAAAATTAATTATGAATTAAAATTTTCTTATACTAATGAAATAATTGTGATTTTTAGGCCGACGCAGAATTATATAAACATCAAGAGTAGCAGTCCAGCGTCACCAAGAACAGTGAGCAGTGCCACGTCCTATGTTCAGGGTTCAAATGCAGGGCCCAGCAGTGTGTCTGGTATTGGCGGTGGTGTGAGCAGTTCCGGTGGGACCGGAAGTGTCGTCGCAGTGACTGGATCTATTGCTAGTGCTGGAATTGCCGGTGGAACTGCAGCCGTGGCGGTTTCGGCGGTTAGCGCCACAACCGGTGGAGGCTTTGTCGCCGTCCCCGTACCCACAGGGCTTCGATATGTTCATCCTTACCTGCCTCCACCGTTGCCAGCGCCATCCGCACCCGTTAATCAAACACCACCTCCCCCGGGTGCGGCAGCCGCATATACTAGGGTATATATCACTCTATTATTATTATTATTATTTTTTTTTTTTTTCTCTCTTAAATTCTATTTTTAGAAACATTTTTTTTTCTCTCTCTTTCATGACTTTTTCGAAACAATTAGTTGATTAAAACTAGGTTGGCTAATTAATTAAATCCTTTCGTCTGGAAACGAAAAAAAAGGGAGAGTTCTTTTTTTTAATGGCAAAAAAAAAAAAATTGGGACACATGATTATGTTCTAAAAATCATTAGTATCGTTTGAAAAGAAGAAATTAAACTAATTTCGAAAATAGAAATTAATTTTGACACTAATTTTTGAATATAGAAATTAAATTTGGATATTTAAATTAATTTTGAGTATAAAAATTAATTTTGAATATAAGAAATTAATTTTGTCCCTTATTTTGAATATAGAAATTAAATTTGAATATTTAAATTATTTTTGGAACTAATTTTGAATATAAGAAATTAATTTTCTCCCTAATTTTTGAATATAGAAATTAAATTTGAAACTAATTTTGAATATAAAAATTAATTTTGAATATAATTTTGAATATAGAAATTAAATTTGAATATGTAAATTATTTTTGAAACTAATTTTAAATATAAAAATTAATTTTGAATATAAGAAATTAATTTTGTCCCTACTTTTGAATATAGAAATTAAATTTGAATATTTAAATTATTTTTGAAACTAATTTTAAATATAGAAAATTAATTTTGAATCTAATTTTGAATATAGAAATTAACTTTAAAAATAGAATTTAATTAGTTAGTATTTTAATTTTATGAAATTTCATTTGTCATAATTATTTTTGAGACAAAATTTTTTATTTGTTCGAATTAGTATTTTTGCAGATTTTTCATTAAATCGATTTTCTATAAAAAAAAGAAAGAATAAAATGAAAATTCTCCAAAATACTAATTCGAGTAAATAAAAATTCCGCTCAATAATAATTATTTTTTTCAGACGAATTTTCATTATTTTGAATTAGAATTTAATAGAATTTTTTTTTACACAAATTTCTACATAAACAAAAATTTTTTTTCTATTGAATTTTTTGTTTGGCATAATTTTTATATTATAGTTTATTTAATTTACATGACTTTTTTATTTAAAAGAATTTAAATTTAAGTGAATTTTAATTTCTGTAAATTTTAATTTAGCAGAATTCTGATTCAAACGAATTTTATTTGATTCGGATTTTTAAATGACAGAAATTTCAATACATCGTATATTTCAAATTTGTCCGAATTTTTATTTGTACGAATTTTTTTAATTGAAAGAATTTTTGCGACGCCGAATTTTCATTTGTCCGAAATTACAAATTAACCGAACGAAAACAATCGACAGATTTTTTTGATAATTTCTAATTGGACAAATTTTTCAGAAATTGCGCCGAAATCTTTCTGTCAATTGTTTAATCGGTTATTTATAATTTCGGACAAATGAAAATTCGGTGTTTTAAAAATTCTATCATTTAAAAAAATTCGGAAATATTTAAAATTCGGTGAATCGGAATTTCTGTTATTCAAAAATTCGAATCAGATAAAATTAGATTGAAGGAGAATTCTGTTAAATTAAAATTTTTTTATATTAAAAGTCATATATATATATATATATATATATATATATATATATATATACAGAATAAAAGAAAAATTAATTGAAAAACATAAAAGACTGAATTAAAAAAAAAGTACAAAGTGAACATAACCTTTAAAAAAAAAAATAAATAAATAAACGAATGCAATACTAAAAAAAACATAATGGAAAAAAACACAAGACGAGAATAGCGAATATAATTGAGAATAAAGAGGAAATGAGAGGAAGAAAAACAGAAATTAAGTAAATAGTATAGGTAGAACAAATTATATTGTTTCGAGAATCAAATCAAATTTTCCACTTTTTTTTTTGTTTTTGTATTTTTTTTGAAAAAAGGGGGGAAATTTAATTTCTGAAATAATTTCTCATTCGACTTTTAATAATAATTGGAATCGCGCGTACCAAGTACATATATATTATTATGGATTCTAAAATAACTTTAAATGGCATTTGAAATCTAGAAACGTTTCAAGGTAATTTTCTGACTTTAAGGAGATACTGATAATTTTGAATCATTATCAACTCGCGCTGTCATTAAATATATATTATATATACTTGAGAGATTTATATAAAATCAAGACTCACAGCATTAAATTATATTAATTATATTTATGTTCTCTCTGTATTATTACTTTACACTTACGTTATTAGCAATAATTATATTTTCAAAATCATAATCGGTTTATTATTTTAAAAAATAAGTAATTTTTTTTCTACTTGGTTTTTTTTTCTCTGTTTCTTTATTAAAATTGTGTTTTTATTATTCAAAAATTCATTTAGAATTTTTTTTTTTTTTTTTTAAGATTGTGTTCGATTGTGGTAAAAAAAAATTCTATAAAGAATATTCGATACTATGTACTTAAAAAAAAAAAAAAAGAAGGAAGTCAATATTGCTCCAGGGACAAAGTGGAAAAACTATTTATTTTATTGTTATTATTATTAATATTATTATTTTTATTATTATTATTATTATTATTATTATCATTATCAGAAATAGTGAATAGATTTTTTTTTTACTAATGACCTTATATTGAACGTCTTTACACAATTACAAAATACTCTGGCAAAAGTCTTGTCTAGGTTTTTTTTTTTTAATTTTTGTATTTTTTTTTTTTTTTTTGTTTCGTTTCGTTTCGTCGACAAGACGGAAACTTTAACCCGTAACAATGGCCTGTAACTAATAGTCGTAATGTTAGACCGACCATGATATAGATAGTCGTGTGGGCGGGTGAAAGTTGTCTTCACCCACTCGCGGTGTAAAACTTTTGCCTCGTTCCCCCCTTCTCCCTTGTCTGAAATCCTTCTCAAAACAACAACGCAACGCGCGCGCGGTTTTCAAGTCATTATCATGGTTTTGTGATGATGTGAAGATTGTCGTAAAATGACAACGACTTTTGCACTCGGAAAAAAAAGAGAAGACAACGACGACGATAAATTGAATAATATATTTTCTTATATATACGCGATTGACCCTTATATATATATAATCTCAAATAAAATTTTTATTATTATTTGAAATTTTTAAAAAGTAGAAAAAAAAAGAATAATATAAAATAATTTTTATTTATTTTGAAATGGTATTTTTTTTTTATTATTATTTTTGCTACAGAAATAGAAAAAATTACTCATGAAATAGTAAAATTTACTTTGGAAATAATTAATATAAATAATAATTTATTATTTTTGCTCCGAAAGTAGGAAAAAAAAATACTCCTGAAATAGTAAAATTTACTACGGAAATAATAAAAAATTTTTAATTATTTTTGTTCAGGAAAAAAAAAATAAATTTACTTCGGAAAAATTATTTTTGCTCCGGAAAAAAAATAAATTTACTCCGGAAAAATTATTTTTGCTCCGGAAAAAAATAAATGTACTCCGGAAAAATTATTTTTGCTCCAGAAAAAAATATAAATTTACTCCGGAAAAATTATTTTCTATTATTTTTGCTCCGGAAAAAAAATAAATTTACTCCGGAAAAATTATTTTCTATTATTTTTTCTCCGGAAAAAAAATAAATTTACTCCGGAAAAATTATAAATATAATTATATAATTATATAATTATATATATAATTATATAATTATATAATTATAATTTATAGAGCAATATATAATCTGAAATAAAAATTTTTTTTTATTATTATTATTTAAAATTTTTAAAAAGTAGAAAAAAAATAATATAAAATAATTTTAATTTATTTTGAAATGGTAATTTTTTTTATTATTTTTGCTACAGAAATAGTAAAAATTACTCATGAAATAGTAAAAATTACTTTGGAAAATAATTAATATAAATAATAATTTATTATTTTTACTCCGAAAGTAGAAAAAAAATACTCCTGAAATAGTAAAATTTACTACGGAAATAGTATTTTTAATTATTTTTGTTCAGGAAAAAAAAAATAAATTTACTCTGGAAAAATTATTTTTGTTCAGAAAAAAAAAAAAATTTACTCCGGAAAAATTATTTTTGCTCCGAAAAAAAAATAAATTTACTCCGGAAAAATTATTTTTGCTCCGGAAAAAAAATAAATTTACTCCGGAAAAATTATTTTTGCTCCGGAAAAAAAAATAAATTTACTCCGGAAAAATTATTTTTGCTCCGGAAAAAAAAATAAATTTACTCCGGAAAAATTATTTTTGCTCCGGAAAAAAAAATAAATTTAGTTCGGAAAAATTATTTTTGCTCCGGAAAAAAAAATAAATTTACTCCGGAAATATTATTTTCTATTATTTTTGCTCCGGAAAAAAAATAAATTTACTCCGGAAAAATTATTTTTTATTATTTTTGCTCGGGAAAATAGAAAAAAATATTACTGAAACAATAAAGTTTACTCTGGAAATATTATTATTATTATTTTTTTTTTAGTATTTTTGCTCGGTTACTTTATTTTTGTTTTAATTTTTTTTTTCTGTCTATTAAAAATTAATTTCTATCTAAAGAGAGAAAAAATGGAAAATATTTTTTTTAAAATAATAATCTACAATTTCAAATAATAAAAATTTCTCTTAACTAAAAAAAAAATTCGTTTCAGTATTGTAAATTTAGCTATAAATAAAAAAAAAACTAAATTAAAAAATTCAACTCTATAAAATCTGTTATTTATTGTAATAATATGTCTATAAACGAAAAAGAATAAAAAAAAAAATTGAATTTTTCTTCAGGTGAACGACCGAGTGGCAATCAGCGTGAGCAGCAGTCCTGTGTCCCAAGTGGGCGTCAGTGGTCTTGGTGTTGGTGTCAGTGCTGCTGGCGAATATGTGGTGACAAATCGAGCTGAGAGGCCGAGGATATCGTTGCTCTCAACACCTGCCGCAACGGCGTCAACGGCCTCGCCAACAGCCTCCGAATATCCCGTTGCCTCGGCAAGAAATCCCCGTGCTGTGATACCAATTCAATCGGAACAATATTGCAATCGCGTTGGAGGTGGTGGCAATTCCTCAGTGGATATTGTCACCATGTCCGATGCGCCTCCATTTAAGAAAATACGCCTTGGACAACAACAACAACAACAACAACAATCACTACCACCACCTCAATCCGCACAATCCCAATGTCAAAATCTTTTAACCACCGAGACAATTGTTCAACAGGAGCAGCACGTGCAACAATTACAACAACCATTGAGGATAGACACCAGGGTGGGTATCAGGAAAATTGGAGAAAAAAATCATTTGAATTTTCATTTATAATTATTTTTGAACTGAATTTTTGTTTATTTGAATTAGAATTTTTTGGAGAATTTTCATCAAAACGATTTTCTATATTACAAGAATTTTCAGGGTGTCTACTAGTCCTGGAAATGTCCTAGAATTTGAAAAAATGTCCTGGAATTTTAATTTTTGTCCTTGAATTTTTTATATTTTGCTTTTAAATTTTCAAAAATTTATAATTTTGTCAATCAAGTTAAAAAAAATTTATTAAATAAGTAAAATGAAAATTTACTTAAGTGATTAATTAATTTTTTAATAATTTCTGAAAACAATAGTTAAACTAACAATTTTTTTATTCCTTAAGGTCATCCAATTTAATGTCCTGGAAAAATAAGAAATTTGTTTTGGAAAGTCCTGAAAAAGTCCTGGAATTTTAATTCAGATTTTTAGTAGACACCCTGATTTTTATATAACTGAAAATTCAAACAGAATTTTTATTTGTTCGAATTAGTATTTTTGGAGAATTTTCATCGAAAACGATTTTCTATATTACAAGAATTTTTATGTAATCGAAAATTCAAAGAGAATTTTTATTTGCTCGAATTTTCATTTAACATAATAGGCATTTTAAAAAATTTTTATTGGCTAGAATTTAATTGCATAGAATTTTCATTTTATTCTTTCAGATGAATTTTCATTTGTTCGAATTATTATTTTATATAATTTCCCGTAAAACCGATTTTTCTGCAGAATTTTTACTTAACGGAAAAATCATTTAACAGAATTTCTAATTTATTGAATTTTCATTTGTCTGAAATTTGCAAATGACCGAAGCAACAATCGATTTTGGCGCGATTTTTAAAATCAACCAATTACAATTTTATGGATATTTTTTTTTATTGGTTGAGTTTAAAAATCGCGCCAAAATCGATTGTTGCTTCGGTCATTTGCAAATTTCGGACAAATGAAAATTCAATAAATTAGAAATTCTGTTAAATAATATTTCTGTTATGTTAAAAATTCTATAGTATGAAAAATTGGTTATATGGAAAATTATATCAAATAATAATTCGAATAAATGAAAATTCATTTCAAAAGAATAAAATGAAAATTCTATGCAATGAAATTCTAACCAATAAAAATTCTTTAAAATGCCTATTATGTTAAATGAAAATTCGAGCAAATAAAAATTTGTACAAATAAAAATTTGACCAAATAAAAATTCTCTTTGAATTTTTCATTATATAAAAATTTCTTGTAATATAGAAAATTCCTATTATTTTTAGAACCAATAGAGAAATTATGGAAGATTCAACAAAATTATCATTCAATTTTTTTTTTATTAAATTTAAGAACCAATAGCGAAATTAAGGGAAAATGGAAAATTTTTCATTCAACAGCGAATTTTAATTTGTTTAAATTTTTAAATACCGAAATTTTCAATTAATTGAATTATCATTGGTTCGAATTTTTTTATTTGCACGAACTGTTATTTATGAAACAATTGTTAAAAACGCCGACTAATTTTCATTTTCACCGAAATTGCAATTGTCCGATCGAACATAACCAAAAAAAAAAAGGAAATTTTCCCGCGATATTTCAAAAATTGGACAAATCAGAAATTAACAAAAAAAATTTGATTGGTCAAATTTTGAAAAATCGCACCAAAATTTCCCTTTTTGTTGGTTATGTTTGTTTGGACAATTTGCAATTTCACTTTTTTTTCATTTGACCGAAAATTCAAATAGTCCGAACAAACATAACCAAAAAAAAAAGAAGAAATTTTCCGCACGATTTTTCAAAAATTGAACAAATCAGAAACTAGTAAGAAAATTGTGATTGGTCGTATTTTGAAAAATTACGCCGAGAAAAGTGTTTTTCAAAAATTCTATTAAAAAAAAAATAATAATAATAATAATAATTCGTGTAAATAAAAATTGTCGATCAAAAAGGAAAATTCGCAATAAATTCGAAATTTTGGTAATTAAAATTTTAAATTATTTAAAATTCTTTCAAATACAAAAAAAAATAAAGTAAAGAAGAATTTAGTTTAAATGAAAATTCTGTTAATTAAAAATTCAATACATAAAAATTCTGTTATGTAAAAATTCGTTTAATAAAAAATTGAATTTCTATTTTTGGATCAATTTTTTATTTCAAAAACAGAATTTTCAATTTCAATAAATTTTAATTTAATCAAATTTGCGTTTCATAAAATTTCAATTTTTAACTAAATTTTAATTGAACTGAATTTGCCTTTTGAAATAAGAGTTTTTTATGTATTTAACGAAAATTGAATTAATTCAATTAAAATAATTGAAATTATTCATTTAGTTAATTGAAATTATATATTAAGATAATTGAAATTATATTTAAAATTTAAATTAAAGAATAAATAATTGTCTTTGAATATAATTTACAGAATAATATTTATTAAATAACCAATTCTTTTATTTAAAATTTAAAGATAATTACAATTTATTTCTAATTGAATATTCGAAAATATTTTTAATTAATTTAAAAAAAAAAAAAAAAAAAACCTTTAAAAAATATAATAAATGCAAAAATTAAATAAATAATTAATGAAAGAAAAAAATTAAATATATTTATAATTTGAATTTTTTAATTTTTCTTTTCAATTTTTGTAATTTATTTTGATTTTTGTGCAAGGAACAGCCAGTGCAGGGAAGTTATATACCTCAAACGGAGGCGATATCACCAACTCCTGAGCCAAATACACAGGAGGATGCGCAATTTCGAACAACGAAAGACGAACTCCTTCAACAAATTGGAAAAGTCGATCGTGAAATTGCCAAGAGGGAGACGCAAATAAGTAAGCTTCGAAAAAAAATGAAACAACTCGAAGAAACGGCCAATAAATCCCTCGAGGCTGAAGGTCTCAAACGACCTGTCGAGGAACAATCCCAACAGCCTAAGCATCAATCGCCAGCGCAAAAAATTTACGCCGATAATAGGGTAAGAAATTTCAAAAAAAAAAAAAAAAAAAAAAAAAAAAAAATTTCTATAAACTTTTTCTTTTAATTTCCTTTAAAACAAGTTTTAAATATTATTTCAATTTTATTTACAATTTTATTTTATTTTTATTATGCCAAGAAATTTTGTTGTCTTTCAATTTAAAGAACAAATAAACATTTTTTTTTTTTTTTTTGAGAATTTTTCTATTTTGTAATTTATAAAATTTTGTTTTCCTAGAGTTATTTATTTATTTATTTATTATTAAAAATTAATTTTTAAAGTTGAAATTGATTTTAAATCTAATTTTGAATATAGAAATAATTTGGCCGCTAATTTTGTAAATTTAAATTAATTTTTAATATAGAAATTAATTTTAAAAAGTAGAAATTACATTTTGAAACCAATTTCGAATATAGAAATTAATTTTGACACTAATTTTGAATACAGAAATTAAATTTTGAAACTAATTTTGAATATCAAAATTAAATTTGACAATTTAAATTATTTTTGAAAACTAATTTTAAATATAGGAAATTAATTTTGATAGTAAAAATTTGATTTTGAACCAAATTTTGTAAATTTAAATTAATTTTGAATATAGAAATTAATTTTAAAAAGTAGAAATTAAATTTTGAAACTAAATTCGAATATAGAAATTAATTTTGACACTAATTTTTGAATATAAAAATTAAATTATGAAACTAATTTTGAATATCAAAATTAAATTTGACAATTTAAATTATTTTTGAAAACTAATTTTAAATATAGAAAATTAATTTTGATAGTAAAAATTGATTATGAACCAAATTTTGAATATAGGAAATTAATTTTGACACTAATTTTTGAATATAGAAATTAAATTTTGACACTAATTTTGAATATAGAAATTAAATTTGAAATTAATTTTGAATGTAAAAATTAATTTTGTCCCTAATTTTTGAATATAGAAATTAAATTTGACAATTTAAATTATTTTTGAAAACTAATTTTAAATATAGGAAATTAATTTTTATAGTAAAAATTTGATTTTGAACAAAATTTTGAAAATTTCAATTAATTTTGAATTTAATTTTGAATATAAAAATTATTATTATTATTTAAAAATATAATTTCAATTTTATTTACAATTTTATTTTTATTATGCCAAGAAATTTTGTTGTCTTTCAATTTAAAGAAGAAATAAAAATTTTTTTTTTTTGAGAATTATTCTATTTTGTAATTTATAAAATTTTGCTTTCCTATATTTATTTATTTATTATTTGACAGAAAAAAGCTGAAGAGGCGCATCGTGTATTGGATAGACTTGGACCAAAAGTTGAGCTACCATTATATAATCAGCCATCGGATACAATTGTTTATCAGGAGAATAGAGAGAGGCATCATGCATTAGTTAGGCCAAAATTGATATTAAGGCTACAACGTGAACATGGTGAACGTGCATCGCTTCATCGTAAACAATCGCAAACATACGCTGTACTTGTACAAGAATGGCATCGTAAAGTTGAACGCGCTGAATCAACGCAAAAGCGAAAAACAAAAGAGGCTAAAAATCGTGATTTCTTTGAGAAAGTATTTCCTGAATTGCGAAAGCAAAGGGAAGATAAAGAACGTTTTAATCGTGTTGGTGCTCGTATCAAGAGTGAAGCCGATCTCGAGGAAATTATGGATGGCCTTCAAGAGCAGGAGGTATACTTTTTTTTTTTTTTTATTTATATATATAGATATAGATATAATTCACATTTGTGGAGCCTGATTTTTTTTTTACAATGTTTAAGAAAAATTATAAAAAATTCTTTTTTTTTTCTCTTTGTTCTGTTTTTAGAAATAAAAACGATTTTAAATTGAACTTTTTTAGAAATTTAAATTTATTGATGGAAATTGGAATTTAAATTTAATAGAAAAGAAAAATTACGAAATTTAAACTTTTTTAGAAAACGAAATTTTGAGGAAAAAGAAAAATTATACGAATTTTCAGTTGGATTTTTATTTAATTTTGTTTCTTTTTCAACTTTTAATTAATTTTTATTCTTTAAAATAGTGTTTATATTTAACCAAATTTTTACATTTTAATAATTTTTTTCATTTTTAATTTCAATTTGAAGTGTTTTTTTTTTTTTTTTAATACGATAACATTTGCTTCTTAAACATTGTAAATTATCAGGTTCAATTCTTCATCGAATGTGAAATTTTAATAATTTTTTTTTTATTTATTTATTTTTATTATTATTTGAGATAAATATCGATTATTTATATATATACATAAGCGATGGTAGAAGCGAGAAGGTGAGTTACAATATTTATAGAAGTTGGTAGAATTCTGGAAAAATCGGAGAAAATTGAAATCAATGAAGGAATATATTTTCTTCTCTAGATTTGTTTTTTGAACAAAAAGAGAGAAAAAAATTTTTTTTGTTTGTTAAAAATCAATTTACAATTTTTTTTTTTTCAATTAAAGAGGATTTTTTTTCTGTCAAAGTAATCATTTTTTTTTTTTTTTGATTGTAAAAGTCGAAGAGATTTGTGCCATTTTTTACCTTTGTCGATGAAAGAAATTTCAAAAGAATTTTGCATAAATTTTTTTTTCTAAATTCATTTTTTGATTTTTTATCCGTTTCCAGGGCTTTATTCCCTTCTGAACAGTTTTGTATTTTTTTTTTTTTTTTTTTTGATTTTATTTTTTTTGAGAATGTCAAAAGCATTTGTGTTTTTCCGTCTTGGAGCTTTGGATTATTCTATTAACAAAAAAAAAAATTTTTAGTTGAAAAATATATTGAAATTCCTCTCTTAAGAGAGAGAAATTTCAAATTTTCATGTGAAAAAAAGTAATTTTTGGACAATTCTTACAAGTAAAATTGTAAAATCTTACATTTGGAATTATTATTTTTTTAGGGTTTTAAATTTTTGTGTTTTATATTTCAATTGTTAAATAATACAAATTAAATTGTAAAAATTACATTTTAATTTGTAAATTTTACATATTAATTTGCAAATACAATCAGAATTATATTTTTTTTATATGAAATTTGAAATTTAGAATTTTTATCTTCTTGAAATTTAGAAAATTTACTTTTAAAATTATAATTCTTCTTTAATTTCCAATTTGATTTTTTTTTTTTTTTTTGTAATTTTTTTCACACTAAAAAAATAATTACAATTTTTCACATGAAAATTGTAATTCATACGTGTGAATTTTGGTTTTTTACTAACAAAAAAGAAAATTAGAACTAATGCGTTTTTGCTAATTTTTTTTTTATTCTTTTTTTTTCCAAATTTTTTTTGAATGGTTTTTTCTTTTTGTGAGAGAAAATAATAATAATTATTGTGACTAAAGGAGGACAAAAGAAAATTCATTATTTTTTTTTTTTTTCTTTGACTTGCACAAGAGTTTGATTCACAAATCTAACAGCTTGAGGCTTTACTCACAAATTGCTAATCATTATAAATACACAGCTTTCATAAACTTTTCTCTTTCACGCTTCATCAAAATTTAGACAAATTTTATTTTTATTTTTTTTGTACAAACCAACAACATCGAGAAAAAAAAAACAGAAAGCTTCCGAGAGAGAGAGAGAGAGAGATGTAATTCAAAAGGCTCTTTATTTTTAAATTTAAACCTCTTTCAATTTCTTTTAATTGTAAAGAAAATAATTAAATCGATTTATTCTATTATTAAATAATTAATTATTTTTTTATTGAATAATTAATTTTTTTTATTGAATAATTAATTTATTTTTTTCTAAAAAGTTAATTAATTATTTATTGAAAAGTAAATGAATTCTTAAGTGAATGGTTAATTACTTTTTTTTAATGGAATATTTAATTAATTATTTATATTGAATATAGTTGATTATTTTTTTTTAATTTTTTATAAGTATCTTTATTTTTGTATTATTGAATATTTAATTTGTAGAGATTTAAATTTTTATAAATATTATTAAAAATTATTAAAAATTATTAAAAATTATTAAATTATTAAAAAATATTAAAAATTAAATTTTTTTTTAAAAATAATAATAATAATAACAATTTCTATTCAATAATCTTCATTAAAACGCTTTCATGGTACAAAAGCTTTCTGTAAAAAAAAAAAAAAAGAAAAAATATGCACAGTTGGTAAAATCTTGGTTCTCGTTAGATATTTAGGTATTGATTTTCCTCACATTCTCCTACCAAGTGCTGGTCAGGAAGAAAGTGATCCGGACAAATTGCCTTGGAGAAGATTGAAAAATATACCAACTGACAATTAAAATTAAAAATTTTTGCTTTTAAATTATTTCAAAAATAATTGTAAAATAATTTTTTTTTTTACAATTTTTTCTAATTTTTGTTTTTCAAATTGAGAGAATTTTAATTTATATTTCCATTTTTTAAAATGCATTTTTTTTTTTAATTTTTTCTGATTTTCAATTTCAATCGAGGAAAAAAAATTGTAAAAAGAATAATAATTAATAATAATAATAACAATAACAATAACAATAATAATAATAATAATAACATGTAAGAAAATCAATTTTTTATGGACACTTCATGGAAGATTTTCTCTCTTATCTGATTTCCCAGGAAGAATTGTCGACAGAGTTAAAAAATTCCATTAAAGCCCGTCAGGTTAGTAAAGAATGAACAAATTCCTCTTTTCACTCTTCTTACGATGATTAAACAAACAAAAAAAAGAAATTAAAAATTAATAATTTTTTTTTTTTTTTTTTGAAATTTACTTTAATTGTAAAAAAAGGTCCATTCGAAGAAAAACACATTTTTATTTTATTTATTTACTTCTTTATTTAGAATTTCAAAAATTGAAATTTTTTTCTTTTGTTTCTATTTTAAAAATCAAGAGCCCTTCAGTAAAAAAAAATAAAATACAAGTTTATAGAAGTAAAAAAAAGAAAAATTTAGTGAATAAATAATAAAATAGGAACACAAAATTATTTTATAAACACAAACGTCGTATATAAATAAATTTTGAGACAAAAATTACAAAAAAAGAGAAAATAAAAAAAAATTAATAGAATTACAAAATTACATAAATGGAAAATAAAAATACAAATGCAAATTATGGAAAATATGTTCAGTAAAATAAATAAAAATTTTATTTAAATATTTTTTTTTTTCAAGAAATAAGGAAACAATTTTAGTTTATAGATGAAAAAAAAAGCTTTGCTATAAAGAATGAAAAAAAAAAAAATACTCGTTCGCATCCAAATAACTTGCCTTCGAGCTTTAGAAAAAAAAAGACAATTTTTTTTTGTTTCTTCTTCTTCTTCTTCTTTTTCTTCTACTTCTTTTTCTTTATTATAAAGATGAATTATACTTTTTAAGGGAAAATTTTTTTTTAAAAATAAATTTCCATATTTGTATTAATTAATTTGGGGGTGGTGTTTTTTTTTTCGCTTCTTTTTTTTCCAGATGGAGGACAAAAAAATGCGTTCGTACGCAGTGATACCGCCATTGCTCTTGGATTCAAAACAAAGGAGAATTGCCTTTCAAAATCGTAATGGTTTATTGCAACCGGAGGAACTTGAGGCGTTACATAGCGAGAGAAAATTAATAAATGTTTGGAGTTCAATTGAACATGAATTGTTTAAAGAAAAATATATTTCACATCCAAAAAATTTTGGCGCTATTGGTCAGTCTTTTGAACATAAATCAGTACCGGATTGTGTACATCATTACTACCTCACAAAGAAAGCGGAAAATTATAAACAACTTCTACGTAGGTCACGGCGTATTCGTTCTAGAAACAATCCTAATAATAAGGTAATTTTTTTTCTCGATTTTTTTTGAAAATTTATTTTCTATTTTGTAATTTTTATCGTAAAAAAAAAAAAATTTCTATTCAGTTTAATTTTTAATTAAAAAATGGAAATTATATAATAATAAAATGCTTGGTCTGTCCTTCTGTCCTAACTTGAAGTTGGTCTTTTATGATTTCACGTGTTTTTTTGAATAGTAATCTTATGACGTGTCAAATTTGTGTCAAATTAAACTTGAAAATTTTAGAAATAATTAAATTTCAAAAGATATTGTTAATTTTCAAACAATAATAAAATTTTACAGAACTAAAAATAATTTATCAAAAAATTTTTTGGAAAACATTTTTTAAATTTAATTGAATTTTCAAAAGATTTAAAATTGAGATTTTAAAAATTAATTGAACTTCAAGTGATTTTAATTAAAAATTTATATGATTTCACTAAAAAATTTATTAGAAATTACAGACAAAATACAATAATTTGATAATCATTTTTAATTAAAAAATGGTTTCAGATAGTTGAATTTTCAAAGAATATTATGAAAATATTTAAAAATAATTGAATTCCCTTAGAGTTATAATTGAAATTATTAAATTTCAAAAAATTTTCGATGGAAAATTATAGAAATAATTAAATTTTAAATGCTTTTAAATTCAAATTATTGAAAATTCAATTAATTTTGAATTCAAATTTTTTAGAATAATTAAATTTTCTTTAATTTTGATTTGAAATTTTGGAAAATAATTAAATTTCAATTAAAATTTTGGATAATAATTCATTTTTAGTTGATTTTTTATTGAAAATTTTAACAATTAATTTTGAATTGAAATTTTAGAAAATAATTAAATTTTATTTGATTTTAAATTTAGAAAATAATTGAATTTTAGTTGATTTTGAATTGAAAATTTTGAAAATAATTGAATTTTCTTTGATTTTGAATTGAAATTTTGGGAAATAATTGAATTTTAATTGAAATTTTGAATAATAATTTAATTTAAGTTCATTTTTTATTGAAAATTTGGATAATTAATTTTGAATAGAAATTTTAGAAAATAATTGAAGAATTTTATTTCATTTTAAATTGAAAACTACGAAAATAATTGAATTTTAAAAGATTTTGAATTAAAAATTTGGAAAGTATGTAATTGAATTTTCTTTGATTTTGAATTAAAATTTTGGGAAATAATTGAAATTTAGTTGATTTTGGAATTGAAATTTTGGAAAATAATTGAATTTTTGTTAATTTTCAATAGATAAATATGGAAAATATTTGAATTTTAGTTGATTTTAAATTAAAATTTCGGATAATAATTGAATTTTATGTGATTTTAAATTGAAAATTTGGAAAATAATTTGATTTTAAAAGATTTTGAATTAAAAATTTGGAAAATAATTGAATTGTCTTGGATTTTGAATTGAAATTTTGGAAAATAATTAAATTTCAATTACAATTTTAAATAATAATTAAATTTTAGTTGATTTTTGATAATTAATTTTGAAATGAAATTTTAGAAAATAATTTTATTTTATTTGAATTTAAATTGAAAATTTAGAAAATAAGTGAATTTTAGTTGATTTTGGAATTGAAATTTTGGAAAATAATTGAATTTTTGTTCATTTTCAATAGATAAATATGGAAAATATTTGAATTTTAGTTGATTTTAAATTAAAATTTCGGATAATAATTGAATTTTATGTGATTTTAAATTGAAAATTTGGAAAATAATTGAATTTTAAAAGATTTTGAATTAAAAATTTGGAAAATAATTGAATTGTCTTGGATTTTCAATTGAAATTTTGGAATATAATTAAATTTCAATTACAATTTTAAATAATAATTAAATTTTAGTTGATTTTTGATAATTAATTTTGAAATGAAATTTTAGAAAATAATTTTATTTTATTTGAATTTAAATTGAAAATTTGGAAAATAAGTGAATTTTAGTTGATTTTGAATGGAAATTTTGGGTAATAATTGAATTTCATTTGATTTTAAATTGAAAATTTGGAAAATAATTGAATTTTAAAAGACTTTGAATTTAAAATTTAATAATTTGATAATTAATAATCTGAGGCCTATAAATATATAATTTTTATTTTTATCATTTAATATGGAATAATATTCTAATAAATTTAAATAATTATTGATAATATTAATTTTTAATTTCTCTATAACAAATAATGAAATACTCAATTTGGCGCGCTTGCGCGCGTTTAATATTGCTAGTTTATTTTTAAAAAAATAATTTTTTTTTTCCCTCCCCTATTTAGGTTAATAATAGTAATTCGACGATTGGGCCAATTGACATTTTATCAACGGGAGTAACGACGAGGCTTCAACGTGAGCAACAACAAAAGACACAGGAGAATCCGCAAAATAATTTGTCAACGGCTTCAACGACTGTGACTACAGCGACGATAACAACAACAACAGCAACGACGACGTCATCGTCGTCGTCAGTGGCTGCCACAACGTTAACATCATCGGCGTCAAGTAATTTATGTGCAAATGTCTCGACGTCAATAACAAGCACAAATTCAATAACAACAAGTACGAATTCTCTCACGGAATCGATAAATTCCACAATGACAACAACGACAACGGCGGCGGCGACGACAACAACAACGTCATCATTATTAGCGGCAGGAACAGGAACAACGACAACAACAACAACAACGTCGTCGTCGTCGTCGACGGCAATGACGAATTCCTCGTCGTCATTCCTGAGTACCACGAGTACAATGTCGTCGAATGTTATTAGTTTATCGTCAGTTGTTAGCGCTAAGGATGCAAGAGAGGCAAATAAAGAGAATAAGGAGAATAAAGACATTAAGGATTCGGCGAATGTTAAAATTGAAATTAAAGACGATGCTCAGAGTAGTTTAGAAACTTCTTCAACAAGGTGAGTCTATTTCTATTTAATATAATACAAATTTTTGTTTTTTTTTTTTTTGATAATTTATGAATTTTAAAATTTAATATTGAAACTATTTTTTCATTTAAATTAGTAAATTTTTAATTTCAATTTAATTTTTTAAACTCTTATTTTCAGACGAAATTTTTTTATTAGTTTCTTAGAAAAAACTTGTTTGAAAATAAAAAAAAGAAAATTGAATTTTTTTTTTTTTGATTATGTTCTAAAAATCATTAGTATCATTTGATAATTATAATTATTTTTTACTATAATTTATTTATATACCTAATATTATTTTTATATATTATAATTTTATTTAAATAGTAATAATAATGATAATAAAAAAAAAATGATTACAAAATTATTACAATTAGAAATAAACGAAAAATGAATGAAAGAAAATTATATTAGGAAAATAAAAAGTTGAATTGCATTAATTAAAATTAATCTCGATTCTTTCGTTTCGTGATTGAAAGCGGAGGGGGATTTTCTATTTTTTTTATGCATAAACTGTGTTTTTTTTTTTTTTTTGAATATCAAACTTGCACTCTAATCACTAAGTGGATATCCGAGGGAAATTCATATATATAGAAAATTTTGCCCGTTATCGTATCGAGGGAGAGAGAGAGAGAGAGAGAGAGAGAGAGAGAGAGAGAGAGAGAGATAGAAGAATTGAGTTGGTTTTGTTTGGACATAGAATATCTTCCAGTGGAGCGCGCGCGCGTAGCAGTTCATTCAATTAGGCCATATACTTTTGATTTAATGAAAATAGACTGATCCAATTGCTTTAACGAGTATTACAACAATGATTTAATTGGATATGCAATCGACTTTCGAGCGGTCTATACAATCTACATATTTTTAATCGCATTTCACGTTATTCGAAAAGTTGAAATTTTCTTTCTTTTCTTTTTTTTTTGAATTACTTCAATCTCTTTATATATTGAGAATATTTTCCTTCTTGGAATTAGAAAACTTATTTTCAAATTTTAAACAAAAAATAATAATAATTTTTATCGAATATAAAATTATTATTATTACTTTTATCATATAATAGAAATTAACATATTTAATTTATAATTTTTTTTTTAACCCTTTAAGTACCAACTTTCCTCCCCAAAAAAAAGAAATTTTTGCAAAAAATTGAAAACTAATTTAAAAATACAAAAATTTGTTAAAAGATTTTTAAATATATTTTTCTAATTCTTTAGGGACCAAATTTTTTCTTTGAAAAAAAAACTGGGAAAAAAACGCAATAGTTTTATCTTTTGAATTTATGATTTTTTTTTTCATTCCAGAAAAGAATTTATATGTTTGAATGATAAATATTATATATGTTAGTATGAAATCAGATCAGCCAATCGTAAAATTCTAATGTCAATTAAGGATTATTGGCATACGTTTATAAATTCTGTTTGTTTACACAAAATATTCCAAATCAATTTCTCTTATACTCGAATAAATTCAATTTAATTAATCGAATCATGTTTGAAAAAAGATTTTTATAACTATTATACAAATATCGTTTTTTTTTTAAAAAAAAATATTGTCCTCTATTTAAATTGCACAAAAAAAAAGTATTATATTAATTTTTTATTTTTCTATCTATCATTGGCATTCCTTTTCAATATACTTTTTTATTTTTTTTGTAAGAAAATTTTTTAAATAAAAATTAGTAATAAAATTGAGAAAATTGTGGTTTCAGATTAATAGTTCTTAATTTTTTTTAGAAAAATTTTCTTGAACTCTTCTTTTTGGGATAAAATTACAAAAAAAAAAAATGGACAATTTTTTCCTATTGATACATTTTTTTTTAATTGAAAAATAATTTTTTTTTTTTTTTTTTGAAAAATTTTAGAGTTGACGGAAAGAATGCATTGTCAATATCGACAAATACGACGAGTTCGAGTTCAACGACATTGTCGACGTCGGATAATAAGGAAAAGAAGAAAAGTGGCGGTGCATCGGGAACAGGAGCGAGTAGTGGCAGGACGAAAGACAAAAAGAAGGATAATCATGCGGCGTCCGTTGAAACAAGTGACGAGGAAACACAATCCATTGATACCCATGGTGAGTAGGCAAAAAGAATTTTTATACTATTTTCTATTTTTTATTTCTCCCCCCAAAAAAAAAATTTGATATTTTCGTTTTTTTTTTAAATTTTAATTTAATTTCAAAAATTTCGAAAGAATTTTAATATCATTGAAAAAGTAATTATTTTTTAAAATTGAAATTTTTTGGAAATAATTTCTCGATTTTTACAAAAATTTATTGAAAATAATTTCGAAAAATTTTTCTAAAAACTATTTAAATTATTTATTATTATTTTTTTTTTATGAAATTGTGAAAATATTCGTTTTTTTCCCTTTCGTACGGAGAACGAATTTTTTTTTTATAATTTGTAAATAATATTTATTATAATATTATTATTTTGAATTTATCACTCGGTAGTATAACAAATGATTATTATTTTTCGATTTTTTTTTTTTTTTTTTTTTTTTACCAAACTACTGAAATTTTCGATATTTTCTAAATAATAATTTCGGTAAAAAATTTTTATTAAATTAATATTTAAATTATAAATATCGTTTGTAATAATCGAAGAATATTTTCTTCAAAAAAAATATTGAACCAAAGAAAAATAAGCAATCAATTTCTATTTTTTTTAAAAATAATATTTATAAATTCTATCGATTATAATAATCGAAGAATATTTTCAAATTTTCGAAAATAACTAATGAAAAAATTAGGAATCAATTTCTATTTTGTTTTATATTCAAATTATATATTCTATCGATTATAATAATCAAAGAATATTTTCAAAATTTCGAAAATATTGAATCAAAGAAAAATGAGGAATTTTTGTTTTTTTTTTCTCTCTCTATACAAAAATGAAAAAATATTGCAATATTGAGATTAATTTATTTCTATAGAAAATCAGCGTTTTTTGTTTCTTTATCGAAGAAAAATTTGCCCCAAAAAAATAAACAGTTCGATAATGAAATTCGTTACACTTTTAAAATGTCTAGAAAAAAAATATATATTCGCAATAATATTTATATTATAAAAAAAGATCACGCAAATTATTATTTAATTTTACAAGCGAAAATTTTTAAAAATGTTCATTAATGATTTTTCGAATTCTTCTTCTTCTTTAATTTTTCCTTCTCATTGAAGAAAATAATTTCTTCATTAGTTCGTCAATTTTTTCTCATTCGTATCACTTGTTGCCTCATTATTAATGACAATTTCCTCATGTTGTGAATTATTATTATCCCTTGTTGGCGTCTCATCAATATTATTTGAATGGCACATTTTTCGATGTTTATGAACAAAATAATAGCTGGGAAATTTACTTCCACAAATTTTACATGGATAATATTGTACATTAAGATCGAGAAGTCGTACTTCACGTCGACGTTTATCTTGATGATGATGATGTTGATGATGATGATGATTTTGACGCTGTTGTTGTTGTTGTTGTTGTTGTTGCTGTTGTTGTTGCTGTAATTGTTGATTTTGATTTCGACTTGATTCAGCCTCGGTTGGCAAAAGATGTCTTCTCGCGTGTTTACGATAACAATATTGCGATTTAAATGTATGCTGACAATAGCTGCATGTATAATTTCCAGAAACGCCACAATCGCTCGTTAATTCTTGTGTCACGTCTTCCGGTCGTCCGTTCTCATCGTTTTCGCCTGAAAATTGTTTTTTTTTTTCATCATTATTATTCTTATTAATGACAAGAAAATTTGAAAAGAATTTTTTCTTCCTTTTTTTAATGATTAAGTTTTGAAAAGAATTATTTATTTATTTTTTTTTTTTTAATGAACTTACCGGAAGTGTTGTCTTCATTTTCCAAGCAACTTCTCGGACGTATTGCAGTGCCCGTCGAAGGTGCGGAATAATTTTCATTTAAAACACGATGAAATCTCACGGGTCCGTCGCAACAGGCGACATCGTAAACGACACTTCCGCTTGAATTGCTTTCCTGTTCGGTGTTTGATCTTAAAAGATAATTAAAAAAAAAAAAAAGAAAAAAAATTAAATTAATTTCCAAATAAATATATTGGTATTAATTTATTAATTTGATTTTGACAATAATATGAAATTGGGAGAAATTAATATTTCGATTACTTTTTAAACATTTATTTTGATACACAAAATTTTGAAAATAATTTCAAATATAGAAATTAAGTTTTAATATTTAAATCAATTTTGTAACTAATTTTGAACGTTGAAATTAATTTTAAAACTAATTTTGAATATAAAAATTAATTTTTAGCCTAATTTTGAATATTTAAATTAATTTTGAACATAGAAATTAATTTTAAACATAGAAATTAATTTTAATAGTAGAAATTGTTTTTGAACCTAATTTTAAAAATAGAAATTAATTTTTCCCCTAATTTTGAATATAGAAATTAATTTTTAATATTTAAATCAATTTTGTAACTTATTTTGAACGTAGAAATTAATTTTAAAACTAATTTTGAAAATTTAAATTAATTTTGAAAATAGAAATTAATTTTAAAAGTAGAAATTGTTTTTCAACCTAATTTTAAAAATAGAAATTAATTTTCCCCCTAATTTTGAATATAAAAATTAATTTGGAAAAATTAAATTAATTTTGAACGTAGAAATTAATTTTAAAGCTAATTTTGTATATAAAAACTAATTTTGAAACTAAAAATTAATTATAAAAGAAAAAAAATTAGTTTCAGAATTTTAAAAATACAGATTAATTCCCAAAAAGAAAAAATAGTATTTGAAAATGATTCCCGCTTTTCTGAAATAACATTTTTCAATTTAATTTTGAGACTATTTTTATATTTTACAAAAAAAAAAAAAGTTTCCAAAAGTCAGAAATTAATTTTTAATTTCACTTTTCGGGTAAAAATCTATTTTTTTTTTGTTAACTTTATGTCTTTTTTTTTTTACCTTGTTCGACGCAACTGTTGCGAAATGTGTTCAACGTGAGTCACTGATATTTTTTCACTATCCTCGGAAAGTGTTGAATTATTACTTTTTGTTGGCGGCGTTGACTCGTCAAGAATTTTTCGTTTTTTCGCAAATTGTGGCGTTAATTGCACCACCTGAGGAATTATGGGAGTCAAAGATCTTGAACGTGAACGTGAACGTGAACGCGAATGTGATCGTTGGGGACGTGATGTCGATGATTTTGGCGATAGTGACCTTTCTCTCGCACTAAAAAAATAAATAAAATGCAACAACAACAACAACAATAACAAAAAAAAAAAAAAAAAGAATAAGTCAATTATTAGCTTGTGTTAATTCAATTTTAATATTCATTTCGATTTTGATTTCATTTTTCATTTAATTTAGTTTCAAATTTAATTCTAATTCGATACAAATTTTTTACATTTGCTAAAAAAAATCTAATTTATTTTAATTTATTTGAAATAAATTTTTCATTTTTTCGAATTTAATTAAAATTAAATTTTTTCAATTATTTGAAATAAATATAAAATTTCCATTTTTCCGAATTTTAAAATTTGATTCAGGAAAATTTTAATTTAATTTAGTTTTGATTTTTACAAAAATTAATAATTTAATTTAATTTGAAAATTTCAAAAAAAAAATCTATTTTAATGCAATTTTGAAATGAAAGAAAAATCCTAATTCTAATTTAATTAAATTTTAACATTTATTTTTCAGAAAATATTTCAAAATTTGAGTTAAAAAAAATTCTAGAATTCAGTTTTAAAATTTTGGGTAAAAAAAAATAATTTCAATTAAAAATTTTTTATTTCGAAATGAAGATAAAATTGAAATTTCCGAATTTGGAAAAAAAATTGAGGAAATTGAATTATTTTTGTTCTTTTTTTTTTTTTTTTGAATCGAACCTGTAGGAAAGTGACGATCCGGGATTATCCTGAAAAATTGGGGGAATAATTGACGGTGGCAAATGTAAAGATGGCAATCGTGAAATAATGGGCCCGGGACCGTATAAGCTTGTTTGTGGCCAACACAATGGTGGTCCCACTGTCAATCGATTTGGCACTGGTCTCAGTACATTTCCTTGGCCAGTTTGTTGAACTGGAATTGCAGGTGGTGTTCTCAGTCTCAATAAAGCGGCTCTACATTGTTCCAATGCTCCTGGCATGTGTAATAAATGTGTTGCCAACAAAACACTATAAATGTTGTCCAAAGTTACATCCAAATGACCCGTGTACATATAGTTGAGTAGCGGTGCAAATGCCTCGCCACCTGGAATTTATTTCGTTGCAAGTCAAAAAAAAAAAAAAAAAAAATTGCAATTTTTATTTTTCCCATTTGAAATAGAAAAAAAGAAACAATTTTCTCAACTATTTGAATATATAGTATTTTTTTTTTTTCTAATTTTCTCGACTAAAATTTTATTAGAGAACAAGAGGAAATTTTTTTTTTTCGACAAAATCTTTTGTTGAAAAAAGGCGCATTTTTTTTGGGGGAAAAAAAACATTTAGAAAACTTGTAAATTTTTCAGAATCTTTGGTAGTTATAATTTTTTGGTTCTTTAGGAATTTTTTTTTTTGTAAAAGAAAAACAAACAAAAAATGAGGAAAAATCGTAAATTTTCTGGAATTTTAGATAATTATAATTAAAATTTTTTGGGGTTTTTTTTAGACATTTTTGATTGTAAGAACAATATAAATAGAAAAAATTGAAAATTTTCCAGAATTTCTGATAATTATAATTTTTTTGGTTTTTTATACATTTTTGTTTGTAAAAAAAAACATAAATAGAAAAAATTGAAAATTTTTCGGAATCTATAGTAATTCTAATTTTTGTAATTGTAATTCTAATTTTTTTGGTTATTTGGATTTTTTTTTGATTTTTTTAAAAAATAGAAAAAATTGCAAATTTTCCAGAATCTTTGGTAATTTTAATTTTTGTAATTGTAATTCTAATTTTTTGGTTATTTGGATTTTTTTTTATTTTTTTAAGAAATAGAAAAAATTGCAAATTTTACAGAATCTTTGGTAATTTTTTGTAATATTGTAATTCTAATTTTTTTCGGTTTTTATTTTTTTTAGACATTTTTGTTTGTGAAAAAAATATAAGTAGAAAAAATTACAAATTTTCCAGAATCTTCAATAATAATAATTTTTGGTTTAAAAAAAATTTTTTTTTTCATATAAAAAAAACATAAATAGGAAAAATAGTAAATTTTACAAAAAATTTTCCGTACTTATAATCTTTAGCAAAAAAAAAAAAAAAAGAAAGTAGGAAAATTGTTTAAAAAAAATAGAAAAATAATTTTTTTTCTTATTTGGTTTAAAAAAAAATAGATAAAAATCATTAAAAAATTAATTCTCTAAAAAAAATAATTTTTTGAAACAAATTTGTTGAGAGACAAGAAAAAGAATTTTTGATTTTTCTCTTACAAAAAGAAAATGAATTTTCAAACAAAAATCCTTTTGGAAATTATTAAAATTTCTTGTAACTATTTTAATTTTTTAAAAATTGCAAATATTTATTTATTTATAAAAATAAAATGAAAAAAAAAATTATTTTTTTTTTTTTGTAATTTTTTTTAAATAGAAGAGAAAATTGTTTCTTTTAAAGCTTTTTTTTCTTTTTTTTCATTTACCAATTGACGAAACGGAAATTGAACTAATAACTGAATTTCCATCGGAAGACGATGTTGAATTTGTGGAATTATTATTTGACAATAATGCCTTTAAATATCCACTGTGAGCGGCTAAAATTGCACGATGTGCAACAAATTGATGTTCACCTTCGTTTCCCACTCGAATCAAAGTGTCAGGGGGTGAAAGGGTCTCGAGACGAGGACAGGTTTGTTCCGAGCCAAACCAGGCGCGATAAAAATTATACATTTTCTTTTCCTTATTATTATTATTATTATTGTGTATAGAGAGGGAAAAAAAAAGTCCTGGGAATTTTTTTCTTCCTTTTGTTATTAAATTCCGTGTCACTGATTTTCAATATTTTTATCGTAATTGTTTTGACAGGGCATTTTTTTTCAATATTTGCCCCTAGAAAAATTTTTACTTTTCCTTAAAACATTATTAGCTTTTTCACTTTAAATAATTTTTTTTAATAATTCAAAATTGTTACTAATTTTTCGAATTTTTAAATTTTTTTTTCGAAATTTCTTTGATATAATTATTATAATTTAAAATTATCAATTTTTCGGTTCGGTTAATTTTTTTTTAATTTATAACAATTTCTTTCATATAATCAAAAATTGTTATCAATTTTTTTTTTTTTTGAAATTCACTTAATTTTTAATTCACTTTCTCAATTAATTTTATTTTTCGTTGTATTTTATCACAGTAACTTAAATTTCGAATTTTTTTCTCGGAAACTATATTTCCAATTTAAAAAAATAAAAATTTTCAATTTGTGAAAATATTACCAAAAAATTGATTTGAATTTTCAAAATTATTTAAAAAACAATTTTTTTTTTTAAACCACAATTTTTATTTATAAAAAAAAATAGAAAACGAATAAAAAAAACCGATTTTATTCACAATAACTTTGAGAAGTGTTTTATAAAACGACGTTTTGAGAACGATAACTCTTGCGGTTGTGATTTGAACGCCAGGAGCTGAGGTTGAACCGGGGGTAGTTTTACCGAGAGAGAGAGAGTGAGAGAGAGAGAGAGAGCCCCACTCTCTGGTTTGTACTACCCTCAAGAGAACGGGGTGAGAAACGCCCCCAATGAAAAGAGATTGGCCCGTTAATCTAACACGTGGTTGTCCTTCCCACGAAACATTTTCATATTATCGCGAAATTTTTATGGAATTATTATTATTCCTTTATCATCAAACAATTATTGAAATGTATTTCATTCTCTATATTCTTATTATTAATTTTTCTCGTTTGAAAAAAAATATGAAATTTTTCCCTTTTCTAAAAAAAAAAAAAAAAATGGATAAATATTTTCCTAGGGCTTAAAGTAATTATTTTCTTCCCTAAGGATTAAAAGAAAGGATATTTACAAGATTAGGAAGTAAAATTACTATTTTCGATTCTAGGGGGTAAATTCGATTTTTATAATTAGGGAATAAAAATTTACTTCTTTGTCTATTTTGGAAATAAGGAAAAATTACCATTTCTCTAACCCTAGGGACTAAAATTCCCTTTTTTAACTCTGTAAAAAAAAATTATTTACTCAGAGATTAAAATTTGTAATACTGATTACTTTTTTCATATTAATTTTTAAGACTATATTTTTTATAAAAAAAAAAAATCCAAAAGTTAGAAATGAATTTTTATTTCCATTATCAATAAAAAGTTTTTATTTATTTATTATTTTATTATTATTATTATTATTATTATTATTTATTATTATTATTTATTTATATTTATTACTTTTTATTATTATTTTTATTATTTTTCAAAAACTAGAAACTAAAATAACATTTTTTCACTCTAGGCAATAAAGTTACATTTTTCCATCTCCAGTGAGTAAATTACCACTTTTCTAACCCTAGGGAGTAAATTTATTGAAATGTATTTCTTTCTCTACATTCTTATTATTAATTTTTCTCGTTTGAAAAAAAAAAAATTATAAAATTTTTCCCTTTTTTTTTAAAAAAAAAATGGATATTTATTTTCCTAGGGCTTAAAGTAATTATTTTCTTCCCTAAGGATTAAAAGAAAGGATATTTACAAGATTAGGAAGTAAAATTACTATTTTCGATTCTAGGGGGTAAATTCGATTTTTATAATTAGGGAATAAAAATTTACTTCTTTGTCTATTTTGGAAAGTGGATAAATTACCATTTCTCGAACCCTAGGGACTAAAATTCCCTTTTTTAACTCTGTAAAAAAAAATTATTTACTCAGAGATTAAAATTTATAATACTGATACTGAATTATTCCTGAAAAAAAATTAGTTTTCGAAAATAATTGTTTTTTTTCTGAAATTACTTTTTTTATATTAATTTTTAAGACTATATTTTTTTATGAAAAAAAAAATCCAAAAGTTAGAAATGAATTTTTATTTCCATTATCAATAAAAAGTTTTTATTTATTTATTATTTTTATTATTATTATTATTATTATTATTATTATTTATATTTATTATTTTTTATTACTATTTATAGTTTTATTATTTTTCAAAAACTAGAAACTAAAATAACATTTTTTCACTCTAGGTAATAAAGTTACATTTTTCCATCACCAGTGAGTAAATTACCACTTTTCTAACCCTTGGGAGTAAATCAAACATATTAATTTCTAGAGAATAAAAATACCTTTTTTTAACAGTAAAACGACTCTTTCTATTCTTAGGGAATAAAAATATTATTTTTAACCCTAGAGAGTAAAACGATTCTTTTCATTCTTAGGGAATAAAATAATTACTTTTTACACTAGAGTGAGAAATTCGTCTTTCTATCCCCAATGGAGTAAAAATATCTTTTTTCCACCGGAAATCTTTAAAAATATTACCGAATTTTTTTTGTTATTTATTCATAGGGATAAAATTTTCAGGGTAATAAAAAAAAATACCATTTTTTCTAAAAAAAAAGAAAAAAAAGCCCTCCAATATAATACGCTTGAAAAGACGTGAAAGTCTAGAATAAAAGTAAAAAAAAAAAAAAAAAAACATAATTTTTTTTTAAATGAAAAAATGTGTTTCCATATCTAATATGAAAATATATCCTTATATTTGCAAAAGACCTGGAGTGGACGAGTATCGCTCAATTTCTCTTCGAGGATAAAAAAAGAAAGAGAGAGAGAGAGAGAGAAAAAAAAGAAAAGAACCCGGTTGTAACGGAATAAAGCGAAATTCGACGGTATACGTGAATTATAAATTATATTATGCAAATACTATGGAAAAAAGAGGAAGGAAGGAAGAAGCACTAGTGCTGAGCTAATTTGATGAAAAACATCAGAGAGGGTTAGGAAAAGAAAGAGAGGAGAGAGAGAAAACCTGGCAAAAGACGCATCTCTCTGCTTATATTCTTTCTCTCTTTCTCTCTCTATCTCTCAATGAAAGGCACTTTAGTAAAGTTTTACATTTTGTTTTTCCTGAACGAATTTCATTTTTCAACCCATGTAATTCACGAGCACTTATATATATATATCTCGAGTACACCAAAAATGCCCTTGAGCGCATTTAAATAGCTAATGAACTTTCATTTTACAAACAGAAATCACTGACAAAAATATTGTCTAATTTAATAGAATTTTTTTTCTTTTTTTTTATTATTAAAAAAATTTTAAAAACATATATCTAAATTTAAAATTCATTAAAAAATGAGAATTTTAATTTTTTATACTAGTTCAGAAAAAAGTAATTTATTCCCTAGAGTTAAAAAAGATTTCTTTAGTTTCTAGTTTAGAAAATAATAAAAATATAAAAATTTATATGAAAATAATAAAAATAATAAATTTAATCTCTGCAGTGAGAAAAAAGGTATTTTTATTTCCTAATAATAAAAATGTTCGTTCTACTATACTTAGGGTTAAAAAAAGGTATTTTTTTTCTCTATAGGAAAGAAAATGTTCGTTTTACTCCCTAGGGCTAAAAAAAAGGTATTTTGTTCCCTAGTGTACAAAAAATGTCATTTTGCTCGTTATAGTGTTAAAAGAGATCATTTTACTCCTTATTGATGGAAAAATTCTATTTAATTACAATTATTAATTAATTATTAACTAATTTTTTCTTGAATAAAATTTTGAAAATTGAAATTATTTCCTGTGAAATGTAAATTGATGAAGAATTGAAAAAGCGATTGGTGTATAAAAGAAAGAAGGGCGCGTTTTTGATCAAGGGAAACGTTTTGCTTTATAATCGGACGATTTCCTGTCAAAGAGGGAAGGAGAGTGAGAGAGAGAATTTGAAACTCTCTTGCTCTCTCTCTCCATGGTCTCGAGGGAAATGTGTGTAATCGCCATCCTATTCTGCATCGGTTTCCTCGCGATCATTTGTTTATTGGCTCGTGCCATCGCGAGTGTCACGGCGCGCACAGAGCATTGTAAATGAAAAATATTCCCTTGTATTATATATATACATATATATATATAAAAGAATATTCTTATTCACGTGAATTGACGTGTAAAATCACAACAGAAAATAAGTATATATTTTTTAATGGTCCTCTGCATTTCAAGAATTATTTAAATACAAAATTCAAAATTAATAATAATAATAATAATAATAATAATAATAAAAATCCACAACTGAAAAATTTCAGTCGAATTTGGTAGTTTTTTGAAAAATTCTTCGTCATATTCGATTCGCGATTTTGAATTTTTGAAAATTAAGTTCAAATTCGTAATCAGCGACCCTGAAAACCCCCCGTGTAATAAGTTTCAAAGCGATTTTTGATGAATTTAAAAAAAAAAATTCCACCATATTGGAACCGCCATTTTGAATTTACGAATTCTGAGGCCAAATTCGTAATAAGCGACCCCGAAAACCCCCGACTAATGAGTTTCAAGCAAATTGGAGCAATTTTAATTTTTTCCCTCCTCCATATTGGGTCCGCCATTTTGAATTTTGAAAAACCGACATTGAATTCGTAATCAGCGACTCCAAAAACCCCCAAGTGATAAGTTTCAAGCGAATTAGAGCAATTTAAATTTTTTTCCCCCTCCATATTGGGTCCGCCATTTTGAATTTTGAAAAACCGACATTGAATTCGTAATCAGCGACCCCAAAAATCCCCAAGTGATAAGTTTCAAGCGAATTGGAGCAATTTAAATTTTTTTCCCCTCCATATTGGGTCCGCCATTTTGAATTTTGAAAAACCGACATTGAATTCGTAATCAGCGACCCCAAAAACCCCCAAGTGATAAGTTTCAAGCGAATTGGAGCAATTTAAATTTTTTCCCCCTCCATATTGGGTCCGCCATTTTGAATTTTGAAAAACCGACATTGAATTCGTAATCAGCGACCCCAAAAACCCCCAAGTGATAAGTTTCAAGCGAATTGGAGCAATTTAAATTTTTTCCCCCTCCATATTGGGTCCGCCATTTTGAATTTTGAAAAACCGACATTGAATTCGTAATCAGCGACCC